TGAAGCGAAAAAGTGGTACCTTCCTGCGGGCCAGTTGAGAGTCTAATAAAGTCACATTTAGCGATTTACTCGTGTGTTCAACGAACATTGTCCCAATTTGTATAAACACCAACCTTAGCCAGATCCTTGCGCAGAATGATGAACATGGTCAATGCTGGTGATGGGGAAGCCATTTGTGCGTTAGCCGTGTCTGCTTCTTGGACGACCAACTCTGGTTCAGCAATGGCCCCTTCAGCCATAGAGGGGAAGAGAATAAAAGAAGCCAAAATAAATTCGATTTTATTGTTTTTTGCGTGTAGCCAAAGTTTACAGACGGGAAGAAAGAGCAAGCAGGTGTGGAACGTGTACAATGCAAAGCTACCGATTAAGATATGAAATGAAACATTTGGCAACAACAGTCATGGTTTTGTACGTTCACCATTGTTCATCAAAAACGTGCATAATGACGATGAGACGATCATGATCGTCACGACCTTTGGCAAAGGCTTCAAGATCATCACAAACGTGACGAATAAAAAAGTAAACCCCTACCCGATATCAAATTTGACAAAAGTAATCTGTTCGGTGACAAAAATAAGGAGAATTCAAGAACACAAGAAATGACGCAGACGACTCGTCTCAAACACACTCGTGCTCCATACAGGGATTCGGACCTGTGACCTCGGCGTTATTAGCACCACGCTCTAACCAACTGAGGTAATAGAGCTTGATGTTTGGCGCGGCAAAGTCTGCGACTAGTTCGGCAACAGTAAAAAAAGTCAAACTTTGGTAAAACACCCTCCCCCTGTGTTCCCGTCAAAAACATGGCTGATGTGGTTGCTTATTGTTAATTGTTGCAGCGTATATTTAGATATCAAGAGCACATACTACATCCTCACCATAGATCGGCAACTGATAAGAAAAAAAATATGATCGACAAAAACGGGTTTATCACTCTCCGGGAAATGTAGATTGTGGAGCTGGAGTAACAGTATTTCAAGTGACCTTTTGGTTGATCAATCACGTATTCTTATCGACCTCATATTCCCCAG